GTGGTGGCGGGTGCCTGTAATCCCAGCTACTTGGAAGGCTGAGGCAGGAGACTCGCTTGAACCCAGGAGGTGGAGGTTGCAGTGAGCCAGGATCTGGCCATTGCACTCCAGCCTGGGCAACAAGAGCGAAACTCCGCCTGAAAAAAAATCATCATCATCATCATCAAAAGTGGAAGATGCCCCCACACTTGGTCAAGCTAGCCCTTTCCACTGGAGGACAGAGGACTCCAGTCTGGGGACACACACCTGCCCTCACACAGGAGCTCCCCCACATCTGGGGATAAAAAAGAGACCCTTCCCTTGGGAACAGATGTGTCCTTTCTCCTGAGCACAGATTGATAGGCACCCGGTGGAAGAGCCAGGACCTCTCCTGGGCTGGAGCAGGGTCCGGCTGGAAGGATCCAGAGCCGTGGGTCCGGCCTGCCCCGCCCCGCCCCAGCAACTCGACCGCCCCGCCCCACTGGCCCCAGCGCCCGGCCACTGCCCGCCACCCGCCGGCCCTTCCGCCTCACTCAGCGGCGACACTGAGAGGGACGGGCGCAGGCCATGGAGCGCACAGCAGGCAAAGAGCTAGCCCTGGTAAGGGGACAAGGGATTCCCGGACCCTGCATCCCTGGCGACCCCCAAGGTCCCGAAACTCCAAGTGCCCTCCCTTCGGACGCCATCTGCTCCCAATTTGAAATTGCCCTGGAGTCCCCTCCTGGGGACTCACGACCCTTGACCCAGTGAAGCGACTGTTTCCTCTTAGGGATGGGGGCGGGAGACTCTGAGCGCAGTCGGCAGAAAGGGCCAGAGACAGGTTCTATGAGACTGGACCCTGGGACTCCCCAAATGCCACCCCTTGTCCTCAGGACCTGGGAGGAGGGGACCCGCAGCGAGGAGGGGACTAGCCTGGGACCCCAGCCGGAGTCTCGCAGACTCTGGCCAGGAAGGGGCGTGGGGATGGAGCAGGAAAACTCGGCCCGAGTCTGCGCCGCGAAGGAGGCTGAGGCTCCAGGACCCTCGCGCCTATGGTGCCCTGAGTCCTCCTCTGCGTCCAGGCGCCGCTGCAGGACTGGGGTGAGGAGACCGAGGACGGCGCGGTGTACAGTGTCTCCCTGAGGCGGCAGCGCAGTCAGCGCTTGAGCCCGGGGGAGGGCCCCGGGGGCAGCCAGGTGAGGAGGGGGTTCGGTGGGTGGGCGGGGAGGGAAGCGACCAGGTGAGGGCGGAGCTGGAGAGCTGAGGTTTGGCTGCCGGGTGCCGCGGGCGGGAGGAAGGGAGGGGCTCAGAGGCGACCAGATGAGGGTAGAAAAGGGCCTGGGGGCGGCCAGGTAAATGGGGAGATCCAAGGAATAGGAGTGGGGCCAGGTGATGGCTGCGCAGTTCACAAGAGAAGCCTGGGGACAAACTGGTAAGGGCAGAACTGGACGGCCGGGTGAGGAAAGGCCAGTTTAGAGGGCTGGGGCTGGAAGGTGGAATGGGGTTGGTTTAGAAGTGGCCAGGTGAGGGCGGGTGGGGCAGCCAGTGAAGCATGTCAGGAGGGCTGAGGGAAGCTGGAGGTGGCCAAGAGTGTATGTGTGGGGGCAGGGGATAGGGCATGGAAGACGGACGGCAGGTTGCAGGAGCTATTTGTGGACGGTGCTGAATAATAACTCCAAGCCAGGAAGGTGTGGGGCGCACACCTATAATCCCTGTGCTTTCGGAGACCAAGGCAGGAGGCCAGGAATTTGAGACCAACCTGGGCAACACAGCAAGATTCTCGCTCTACAAAATAAATAAATAAATAAATAGGTGGGTGTGGTGGTGCTCAGCGGTGGTCCCAGCTACTCGGAAGGCTGAGGCAGGAGGACCACTTGAGTCTAAGAGTTGGAGGCTGCAGTGAGCTATGATTGTGCCACTGCACCCCAGCCTGGGCAACAAAACAAGACCCTGTCTCTAAAAAAAACCAAAAACAAAACAATAACTCCAAGAAGTCGGGAGTCAGAGGAATCACATGCAAGAGTAGTGCTAGGGGCTGGGCTCAGTGGCTCACGCCTGTAATCCCAGCACTTAAGGAGGCCAAGGTGGGTGCATCACCAGGTCAGGAGTTCAAGACCAGCCTGGCCAAGATGGTGAAACCCTATCTCCAATAAAAATACAAAAAATTAGCCAGGCATGGTGGCAGGTGCCTGTAATCCCAGCTACTCGGGACGCTGAGGCAGAGAATTGCTTGAACCTGGGAGGCATAGGTTTCAGTGAGCCAGGATGGCGCCACTGCACTCCAGCCTGGTGACAGATTGAGACTCTGTCTCA